CATTTCGATGGAATTTAATTAAAACCCCAGATCCTAATTATTTAAAGCAGTAATGTGCGAAGGGGGGGGGTAGGGGGGGGTTTACCCCCCCTGTGATTTGGATGAGAAAATTTTTTTCGCGAAAATTATTCGAATTTGCTAGGGTTTTTCATGAAAAAAGTGAAGACCTTTTTTTTTTTTTTTTTAGCTCATCAATGTAGAAAATTGAGGAGAATTCTTTAAATTTGCTAGGGTTTTTGGTTCCGAGAGATTTTTTTCCGATTTGCTAAGGTTTTTCGCGGAGAAAATTCTTTCGATTTGCTAGGGATTTTCGCCTCAAAAAGTGACTTCCAAAAAAAAAAAAAAAAACGAAAATTTGTCTGATTTGCTAGAGAATTTTTTGTTTTTGAAAAATTAGCCCACCATTGTTTGTAAACAGCACGGGAAAAAACAACTGGAACAAGCTAATGGTCGACTTAGATGTATTACTTGATTTTTGTAAATATCCATGATTTTCATATCAAATGGTCTCGAGGGTCCGCAACAATTTCGTGTACAACAATCATTTTCCTCAACAGCCCAATAAACCTAGTTATTTGTAAAAAAAGTTACTTTTTTGGTACAAAAAGACAAACTTTTGTTTGCACTTTTTGACAGATGCCTACGTCAAAAATATTTCTGAACAGCGCCTCCTAGCAAATTGCAGATGTAACATTTTTGACTCCTGAAATATATTGAAAAATGGTCATCGTGGTCTACATTCGTGTACATGCGTGCAATTCGTCAGTGGGCACAGTTTTATATCTTTTTAACTAATACTGATGCGGTAGGTACTTGCCTTCTGACCCAAACTGTTTTTTATGGTGAATTTGTTGTTTGTTTCAAATCCCGTGAATGCCTCAAGAAGTTCGACTTTTTGCTTGACCAGCAATTGGTTTATAGTAGTAAGGTATTCCAAGCCGGGTGGAATATTCGGAAAATTCATATTTGTTGCAATGGTCATCCAGCCACCTTTTTTAAAAAAGAAACATATGAATCCTTATGATTACGCTGGATAAATATCTGCTGCTAAAAATATTGGCTAAGTGGATGCGTCTGCGGTATGCGTTTACTCATCAAAACAACACTTCCATCGTTCATTATAACTAGCGCTATTGCCAGCAGCGGATATTCAGGTATGATTAAGATACTTTTTAGTACCAAAAAAATAAGTTTGTGCAAATGAGGGAGGCGCAATCGGGGGCAGGGGAGTACCCAACCATCTCAACATTTGGTCGGATCAAAAAATAATGTAGTACAAAGTTGTTCAGAATGCATACGATCACCATATACAACGAAATTATTAATTGGCTTTGGGCTCATTGTGATTGATGAAAATAGTAAATACAAATTATAAAGAAATTGTTTGATGCAGAATCACCGTTTATTTTCAATTGCACAGTGTGTTTTGAAAATTTCATCGATTTTAGGCCCAAGTCTAAGCTATACTATGCCGCATAGCTCATATCCCAGAAAATTCTTGTTTTCAAGATATGACCTTCGGTAGTGCGAATATGGCCAAAAATGACAAAAAAGGTTACTTTTAACATTTGAAGTATTTTATGGGCCAAAATGTACTCCAATGACTCTGTAAATATGCTCTGTGACTAGCCAAACAAAATTGAACAAAATATCGACCGTTTTGGATGGCTATTCCGAATCTTATGTCCCCTCCCACCAGGCCAGAAGGTGGACTATCGTTGGGAGAGGTGCATGCGGTTAGTCACAAATGAAATTAAAAGAAATCTACAAAAATGTTAGTATAAATGGAAAACTGTGCAAGAGGTCATGCAAAAATGGCCATCATTTTATATGGTCACTATGGGACCTAGACTTGACATAACCAGGACATATGCATCTTCGTTAGAAAGGTCTTAAAGTAAGCTCTCGAGTGGTGCCAATTGCGACTTAAAATTTTTATTTGGGGGTGGCCAAATTGGCAAAAAACCAATTATTGACCGTTGGCCGCACACATAACGGGTATTTTTTTCGAAAAAGACTGCATATGTTCTTTTGAAAATTTCATCAATTTAAGGCCCAAGTCAAAGATAAAAAAATATGCATACCACACACCACAGAAAAAAACCACTTTTCCTCATTATGAACCACAATTTATATGATTTTGATCCAAAAATAAAATGTCTTACATCCGTAAGATGAACTTTTCCGCACTGTGATCCACAACATGCATTCATTACGTATCTTTTACCGTAAATATGAATTCATGAGAAAAATGAATCTGATATAAGTTTTGCGATACCAATAATTTTTGATAGACTTTTCAATGCCTGTATGATATCATAATCATGTGAAAATTTGCAGATGGTTTTTTTTTCACAAAAAGCTAACATTCTGTAGAAATTTCAATACAATTGAGTGGTACCTTACATATAAAATTTTCGTTTTTGAGCAAAAAATCCAAAATTTCCCGACAAACATTTATGTCTTATGAAGGAAATTATTTCCTATAAAACTTCTTTATAAGGGCTATATAATTATTATACAGAAGTTCTTCTATATAACTTCTATAATATTTTTATATAAAATTATTCAGGAAATTGGTAAAAAATGAGGAGGGGCCTTTCATTCTCTTTCTAACAACTTTTTAAGAAATTAAATTGATGTTAAAAATGTTATATCTAGAAGTTTTTGAAAAATATTTAATAATAATAATAATAATAACTGCACCGAACAGCGTTCCTTCGCCTTGGTGGTTTATTCAAAATAATTTAAATAAATACAATATGATTAAATTCTTGCATCAAGCATTTTTGAATGAGATAAATAATAATTTTTATAAAAAGATTTCATTTATGTTTACAATTCATCTATTTTCTTTCAAATATTTCTCAATTCTAAGCTTTACCGTCGATAAATTTACTTCTAAATCAATCAACTTAGTATCACAATTTGGTGTTTTCTTTGTATAATAATCATTGAATGTAATAAGCATATAATTAATTGGTTCATATTTTGTGTAATCACTTCCTCTAACTGGAATATTAAAAAGCGGTATTGCACGGGTATATGCGCTGAATTATAATAATTTAAACTGTTTGATATATGAGTTGACTTCATATCTCCATTAATAATTTTGAAGATGAAAGACACTTGCGCCATCTTGCGTCTTTCCTCCAGCGTAATCATTTGTAGAAATAGCAGTCTATGCTCATATTTTGGAAGTCTATAGCTATCCCAGTTCATTCTCCTTAGCGCATAAAGTAAAAATTGTTTTTGTATTGACTCTATTCTTTTGCACATATTGTCATAGTGTGGATTCCATATTTCTGATCCATATTCGATGATTGGTAATACAAATGTAAAATAAAGGCGTTTAATTGTCCATGGATCGACGAAGTCCTTGCCGTAGAACTTTAACCAAGCCAGTCTTGATTTGGCTTTAGCCGTGACATGCTCGATGTGTGATTTGAAATTCATTTGCACAAATGAAAAAGAAAGAAAGAAACAAGCGGACAAATGAACGTAAGAAGAAGAAAAAGCAACAAAAACAAGAACAAAAGAAACACGAGAAACAACAACATGAAAAAAAAGAGCAAAACCAGCAAAAACAACAACAAGACACAAAAACACAGCACCAGCAGCAGCAACAAAATCTACAAAATCAGCAGCATAATCGTCTAGAATCAAGAAATGATCATGCACAAACACGCAGTTATCCATTCAGACGTTCATTTCAAAGCAAGAATTGGGTAACTGAGCGTCGACGAGGCCATTGGAATGGTGGTTTCAATAACCAACGCCATTTTAAGGATGTTTCGCCGAGAGATAGACCGCATTTTGATGATTGTGATTGCCGCTCGTGTTTTATTGAATTCGAGAAAAGTTTTGCGGATTTTCAATGTGTTCGGAGGGGTCTTCGGCCGCCGGCTCAGCGCTGGCAAACCAGAAACCAGTATTAGATGCCACAACAGACTCGGCTGTAAATTTTTCATCGATGGTAATCAAGAGAGGTAATTCAGAAATGAGTACTTCACACAATTTAAACGATGAAAGATATTCAAGACAGCTGACTATCCATTCGCAAAATGTAAATGGATTGAAAACAAAAATACCTGAGTTTGTGGCGGAAGTTCTTGTACAACATTCACCAATTTACATGCTGCGGGAGACTCATCTGAATAGCGCCATCAATTCAACAGACTTGTTTCCGCAGGTCTACGAAGTATATCGTTGTGATCGGTCACCAAACACCGAGAAAGACCAAGTTCATCGCAAGGAGAATGGAGGAGGAGTTTTGATCGCTGTTAACAACAAGTTAAAGTCGGTTTGCATTGGGACGGGTGACCTGTTCGGTGCGGAACAG